AGCAATTTTAAAAAGTTACCAGGAAGCAACCGAAAAGATTTCTGAAGGTATATAGGTGTTATAGACTCCCTGATCAAAATAAATTTTATAAAGTTACCAGGAAGCAAGTGAAAAGAATTCTGAAGGTATATAGGTGTTATAGACTCCCTGATCAAAAGGAAAGTTTATAAAGTTACCAGGAAGCAAGTGAAAAGAATTCTGAAGGTATATAGGTGTTATAGACTCCCTAATCAAAAGCAATTTTATAAAGTTACCTGGAAGCAACCGAAAATATTTCTGAAGGTATATAGGTGTTATTGACTCCCTGATCAAAAGCAATTTTATAAAGATACCTGGAAGCAACCGAAAAGATTTCTGAAGGTATATAGGTGTTATAGACTCCCTGATCAAAAGAATTTTATAAAGTTACCAGGAAGCAAGTGAAAAGAATTCTGAAGGTATATAAGTACGAATCATACTTTTAACACATTTAACTTTTTTTCAAGCCAAACGTAGTTCTTCACTGAACATTATAGAATATGTATATTGTATATATATTCAAAATTATCAACGTATTTCTGCATTAAAATGTCTATAAAAATACCCGTATCATACCTGATATTTCCACTGAAACTAAACCCTCAGCAGAAGTATATATTTTGCATTTATGACAAAAACAACTAAGACTATTTGCTGCCATTCGTGATTCTGAACTGCTAAGCAGAGGTAACCACTCAACAGCACTCTACCACCCACCATCCACGCTACAGAATTGATTGTTATGCTTATAACGCACCCATAGCTTAATGTGCGGGAAATATTTTGTAGTAACGCACGGATTCGCTCCAGACTCGTCAGCTCCGCAAGTCAGCAGAAGAATTAAATTATGATCAATAATTTCACTTAGGAATATCGGGTTTTCATATATACATATATATTAAAGTAGGTTAACAGTGCATCACTGTACATTTTATATAACAGTGCTTATTTTTAAAGTTTGCCCGTCTGATATATTAGCTTCTTCTTACTGTATCTAATATACAATTGAAATTGTATATTAATTGAAAAAGAAAACTTTTTTCGCTGAAAAATGCTCTTATTGATCTGCAAAGAAGGGAAATATTACTTCAGTGTAAAATATGCCACCCACACGATATTATTGATATTCGAATGAATCATATGACTGAAGATATTTTGCATGAATGGATTATATATATATAACGATTTATTGTTTCACGCAAGATCTCTATAATGCTCTACTGTTTCATGTAAGGTTTTTTTCAACGACCTTTTCTTTCACAAAATATGTTTATAATGATCTAATGTTTCACGCAAGATCTCTATAGGCCTAAACCTGTTAACTGGACAAACACACATAATATTAACTCAAAGAAGCAAAAGTAAATGAGCTTTGCTCAATGTTTGTTCGTAATTAAGCACAAAGCTACACAATGAGCTATTCGTGCTATGCCCACCACGGGTATCAAAACCCGGTTTCTAGCGTTGTAACTCCGCAGACATACCGTTGTGTCACTGGGGGGCCTTGCTAAATGACCAAGCGGATTAACAAATATACAAATATGAATGTTACTTCTAGAACACTAATATATACATTAGTACCAGTTTACGTCAATGGATGTGTAGTTACTCACAAATCGTGACTTAGGAGGAATAACCAACCGAAAACACTGAAATGGGAATCAGACTTCAAATAATAGGATCAGCAAATATATAAGAGGATGTTCTTTACAGATGAAACAAGATTCAAATTGTTTGACAACAATCAATAATAGTTTGTTTAATGACCCAATTAATGTGCAGTATTTACAATGAAGCATGTTAGGTCTTTCAGCCAATGGTTTTTGAGACCTATACAAAATGGATGGCATCCTGACTGCTGACAGGTACAAGCAAGTTTATACAATATGTAATCCCCCTCAGAAATAAGACCTGAATATTAAGGCTGTGTGGTCTTACATCGAAATTAAGAAAAGTCAAAAAGGAATCAAACAACTTGGCTGACTAATACTTATAGTAGCATCAAACAACTTGGCTGACTAATACTTATGGTAGCATAAAACAATATGACTAACTAATACTTATGGTAACATCAAACAAGTTGTGCTGCTCTTTTTAAAGCAAATACAAAATATCGTATTACGTATTCTCTTTTCTATAGTATTTACTGTAATAATGCAGTGTAATAATGATAAACTGACCATTTATTTGCAATTACCAACTGTGTTTAACTCCAGTATGTGTATGAATTGTGTTTTTTCACGATTATTTCCAAAACAGTGTATTCTAAAATCTAAATGATGAGCAAATGTCCGGAATCGTATTTTTTTAAGTCTGGCTGATCTTACATATGATCTTTTAAATCGTAATACAAAAAAAAAAAAATCTGTAGAACTTATGTTAATTTAAAAATCTAAATTTATTGTTGTATATTATAATAAAAATATAATTATTTTTTTATGGTCTTGTTTGTCTCATAAGATTTTGTTCTTAGGAATATGTCTTCTTTATTTCGAATTTTATTGGCTATTGGATGACACTTGAAACAACAGAGAAGCAAAAACAAAGAAACAGCAAAAATACCACACACACACATACACACAAAGAAATACAAACTTTTGTTTGGGCCAAATCAATGGATTCTGTTATGGTTTCATCCATTCCATACTTGTTCTTCAATTTTGACGTCACGTTATCCTCCATCCCTTTGATGACCTATATAATTATTTAAAAATGTATGTTTTATTTGATGAAAATGATCATTCGAAGGTATAACACAAACCCTATTTGTAATTTATTCGTTTAGTTAACAACAGTTAAACTTCTGATAATATTGGCTTGTGATAGAAGGGCCTGAAATAGAATTAAATCAAAATATCCTGATATTGAAAACACGACTTAGAATTTCATAATACACAGTACTCTGAAATATTTTATACTTTTGTCTAGAATTAACATGGAGAAATGGTTTACAATACAAATAGTGACGATTGCTGTATAAATGTTTTGGTAATTCTATTTAATCTACCCCAAAAAAGAAATCATGAGATGTAATTGATCGACAGTCTAAATTGAGACGTGGGATTCACAAATGCTGGAAATATTAAATATTTCTATTGAAAAATTACATTTGTTCCAACGAAATTTTATTCTTAAAAAACACTTGAGACTTACATGAATGTAACGTTATATAAAATTGTAATTATTAAAAAAGTTATTACTTTTTTTGTATGTATTATTTTTTTTATTGCAAAGCCACATCGGGCTATCTGTTGTGTCTACCGGGGGAATCGATCCCCTGATTTTAGCGTTGTAAATTCGTAGACTTACTGATAACTCAAAGTTTGACATAAAAAAAGACCTTCCAAAGAGAATAATAACAAATAAAGAACATTATAAACTATTTATTGTAATAAAATATTATTCCTTAATAATAGGTATGTAATAAATAAACAATATTTATAAGTGTTTGTAAGCAATTCTTCAAGCTAGATTGATTGGATTACTGAGCGGAACTTGAGATAAGAAACATTTTAAGCTATTGCAATATAATGTCTACAAAAAACATACGAATGACAGAGCGTCCAATGAGGTTTCCTCTTGTATTTTGCTTATGGTGTCTCTGGCATTGCAATTTATGGAATATTTGTAGTATCTTTTTATCGTACTTCATTTTTGCTACTTACATCGAGTATTATACACTGCACAAAACAATTAAAAGATAATTGGAATTTGTAAAATTATTACTGCGACAAGACAGAACCCACTGATATAAAATTATGTTAAAAACCTCCTCAATTCATCGTTATGCAAATCAATGTGAATTGGAAACGATTGGTCATTCAGCGTTATTATATGTGATAAGTCTTACAGAGTCTTGTATCACGTATCACTTTGAACTCAATCACAACGTTGAAAGTGTTTTAAGACGTTTATGAGCCATGACTGGACCTCAAAGGGACATTTGGATGTTTCACTCACGTGGAGAGCAATTGGATAGATGGAAGTTGACCAATTGCAGCAAGCTGTTGCAGAATTAGCTACAAATGTTGTCAGCATAATACAGAACTGCTTCCGACCCAATAGTATATTTGCTCGGACATCTAGCCAATACACACCATCATAAACAACACAAAATGACGACTGCTATCTGTATAACCGCAATGGTATGGTACCTGCTCCGAAACTGGCATGGCTTCTAATAAAAGGAACGACATGTGTATATGTGTGTGTGTGACCGATACTGTTTTATAACAATAATTTTGTCTTCTAAAAGATGAATTATTATAATCTCCAATTATTCGTTGTGCATTTTATTATTATTATTTATATTTTATTGCTTTAATCTCTAAAAGTGCCTGTAACGTGTCCTATCCAAAACACTTTTTGTTGTTGTTGTTAAGAAGTCGGAAGATAATTCTATGTATTTGTTTGATATTTACAACAACAATGAAACGAAACGTTATTCGCGATCTAATCAGAGGAATTATACTTTTTTTTGGGGGGGGGGGTATTTTAAGATGATTAATAGAATCATAGCTTAGTTGACACTTGGACATCTAGAAGAATTACTTATATATATTCTTAGGGCTTTGTTACGTTGGGATGATTTGAACTAAAAAACTACACACCCTATTAAAATAATTCTAAGTCGAAAATGATGTGTTATAGTAGCTTTCGACACAATAAGTGTTGAATTTATTTGGTATAAGAGTGATGGAAGGGCAAAATATGGTCAGTTTGGTATCACATGCAAGCCTGATTAATTTAGGTGTGGTATAATATTTTGCATAATTGTTATTTTCTCAGAATTATCAGGTAAATTACGTTTTGGAAGAATACATTATAATTTTAATAAGTTTAATTAAACCGTTTAGCTTCTTGTAAGTTAGAGGTGCAACAGTAACTAAGAATCTATTGAAAGATCCAACCAACTAATAAGATATCAAGGTGAATGTTTTCGATTTCACGAATGATGCATAATTGGATATCTGTGCTGTGCCTGCAACTGTTATCTAAATCTGTTTTTTAGCGTTATAAGTCCGCAGACTTATCACTGTGCCCAGAGAAAGAGACTTTGTTTCAATCCCACAATTTTCAGATGTATTTTAAATAAACATAGAAATTTTAAATATTCGAAGAATCTTGAATCTGCTTTGAGGGTATAATAATAAGTGGTAATACACGGTAGCCCAACATCTTTCGTTTTGTATAACCTTAGAAGTTTCTACGTCTCTTAAGCTGGAATTACAAGGCATGTCATCATAATTCCGAAATACAATATGTAAAGTAATAGTGCAAGATCCTTCTCTTTGTTATATGCAAGGTAGTGCGCTAAAATAAGCATACTTTTCATGAAATAAAATTGCAACGACAAAACATTAGATTTATAAGAACAACATAAGAAAAAAAAATTATGAATATATAACACGTATAACAAGTCCAGCTGCATGTTTGATTTCTTTCTCAGTGCACGTATGTGCTATCGTTTACCAGCCCGATGAAAGAAGTTAATCTGCAAAGAATTCAGCACGTGGCGACAATGCGCTCATTACTGGTTATTATTTCTTATTTAGCCGGAAGATAGAAGCTTATTATTGAAGCACGGCACTCACTGTGTACCAAGCTTCATATGTAAAACCTCATAATTTTGTTCGTTTTCTAGAAACAGTTTATAATGTTTCGAAACATGTCCCGTATATGTTATATTCTTTATTTGTTGTCTTTGTATAGTTGAGTGTGACGTCAACTTAAAGCTATTTACTGCACTGAGGTATTTAGAAATAAAAAACAACAACACAGTGTACGTTTTCGAGTAAAAATATAAACAGTTTATATTTTTATTCCTAATACAAAACAAAAACAACATTATAATGAGACTAAAATTCGGAATTATTCTTCCATTACCGGTTCTTCTTCTCATCATTAAGTTATAACGGATAATGTCTGTGGCCATGGCACCTAAACGCGTTGGGGATATCCCATCTATCAGACAAGATCCAGACGCTGATGTCAAACTAGCCAGCAACTAAGGAGAATCAGTTAGGAGTTAGGATTTAAGTGCTTGAATACACAACAGCTCAACTCCTAATGCCTTTCATTGTCTGCAGCCAGTTGTGGGAAGACAGTTACCTTCAATATTTAGATATAACCTTAAAGTTGAATTAAACCACCCTAAAATTCGACAATGTAAAACTCCCAAACGCCTACGGACAATTAATTTATTTAATAGTATTAGATTTGTTTATTTTTATACCTATCTGTATAATTGTTTGCTTAGAAAGTCCTAAACGAGCATTCTTTAAAGCTTTCAACCTTGTTCTTATGCTAATATTATCATGAATACAATACATTAATCCAAACGATATACGTACGTATTTCATTATTTCCTGTTAGTTTTTCTAAGGCATATTCGACTCAGTTTTTACAAGTATCTTACCTTGTTTTTGAATATAACTGCTAAGATTCCAACGGCAATCTCACATCCAAGGATAAGGAAGAGGAAAACAAAATACTGCAAAATAACATATTTTTCTTAAGCTTCATCGATAAGAGGAATTTCGAAGTAAAATACATTGGAAATGCTCGCCATTTAGGCTAAAATGACAGATAGTTCAAAATAACCAATGTTTATATTCAAGTAATAAAACACATTTTTTTTTCAAATTCTGTGGATTTTAAGAAACAAAACTGAGTGTTCAGAATGTGCTTCAACCGAAGCAGAGATATGAAGTCTGATGGTGTCAGTACTTGTGATTGTACTGGTTGCAGAACAAGGATATAATAAAAAAATATGTTTGATTAAAAGATGTCACGTAAACTTCTACACGTTTTTCTAAAAATAAACTTGAGTATGAACTCCACTTTTACTTGAATAGCACTGTTGTAGAATTATAAATATTCTTTGAGTAACTGAGCTCGAACAAAAATCACCAATCATTCTACATTGCTAGAGAAACAAGAATGTCTCTACAGTTAAACGAGTTAAAAACAACGTTAAACATTATGTTTTGACGTTATTTTTGTCGGTAAACTACAATACGATGGCTCATATTGTGCTTGTACAGGAACAGTATTCATTCTACTTTTGAAGGAAATTATAGAGATATTAATTCAATACTGTTCTTCCAAACAAAGAGAAATATGAAAGCCCAATATATGAGAGTGCGTTTACAAAAACAAGGACATGGATGTTCAACATACAAACAGAAATGAAGTTACACTCGGTACTTGTAGAAAAATATGATTCTCATACAGAATATGTGGACAGTATGTTATGAAGTTAGTTGTAAGGAATATCGGTTGTGGTTGAGAGAGGTAAGAAGGCGCTCGGATTTCGGTCAGTCCTAAAAAAATTAGGAGACTACAGCGCTCTAAGTCGTTAGGAAATGATTAGAGAAAGCGGCCGTCTTTGTTGTTCAGCGGAGACAACAAGACTTTGTATGATTACGAAACGTTATAATCAAAACAGGTGTACAAGGTCAAAAAGAAAGACTCTTGTTCTGTGTGGGTTGGAGAAAGATATATAAGAGACAGGAGTTCAACGAAAAAAAAGTCCTATATGTGAGAGAGAGAGAATGAATATACCGAGAGAGAGGCAAAGGAAGAAGTAATATGCTGCCAGTAAGAAACAAGACTCTGTTCTGAACATATATATTGTTAATTATAGTAATAAACAGCAATTTTTGTATATAATAGTATGCATCAATTTTTGATATAAATATATAGAACAAAAATAAAGTAGATGGATAAGAAGGGAAAAAGAAGGGCAAGTATAGCACGATTGTAATAAAGTGATGTCAAGGCGATCTACAGCATAATGTAATAGGCAAATTAGATTAGATTTAGTATTTTTAGAGAAACAGAGGGGTTATAAACGTCTTTACAATGACATATAATATCAGGATTGCGATAATTTAGTGTGTGAAGGAAGTATATGAAGAAAATAAACTTTTACTCAATGCTTTTAGAGAAATGGTAACTTCTATACCTGAACAAAAAAAAAAGATATGAATTTTCATCGTACAGAGATTTAAAATTAATTCGTACAGAAATAGCCATTTTTAACAATCATGCAATACTTGTGCAGACGAAGATTATGAGTTTCCATACTTTGTACATGTGAAACGTCATTCGTGTTAAATACTATCATTGTGTTATCATGAACTCTCTGTAGTGTTAACATGAATCCTTATTATTATATGGGTGTTGTAATGAAATTTAGGTAATGGTGTTATGATTAACCCTTAATATCACATAGGCGTTGTAATAACTCTTGGTAATAGGGTTAAAATGAACCCTTATTATCACAAAGGTGTTGTAATAAGCTCTTGGTAATGTGTTAAAATGAATCCTCACTATCCTATAGGTGTTGTAATGAACTCTCAGTAACGGTGTTAAGACGAACCTTTATTATTACATAAATGGTGTAATGATCTTAAAGACGTATTCATGTCGGCTTCAAAAACATCCTGCTCAAAAATTGAAGTATAGATACTGTAATGAATTTTCACAAATTTTATATCATCAATACTCATCAGTGACACTTTAAGGAAGGAATGATTTAGTGAACTCTCGGTAAAGAGTGTTGATAGTAACTACAAGACTGAATAACTTTTATGTAACTAGCCTGATTTGGAGTAATATTTCAACCATTATAAACTTAGCAGGTATAATATTTGGTAACACATTTAAGAAGCATAACATGTGGCACAAACTTCGAGGATTATCCTAAGGTTTTGAACAATAGTGTTTATCATCAAAATTCCACAAATCCATCACCATTTTCACAATAATTTACCTCGATTTAAGTGTATTATTAGGTTTATTTGTAATAAATCATACAAAAAAGAAAAAAAATATGACTAGGGTGGTTTGGAGCCTTACCGTGAGGAGCATACATTTGCTTTCTCTTACAGCTCCGCAGCACCCAAAGAAACCCACGACAAACACTAGCCCTCCAACTCCAATTAAACCGTAAGCTAGGTACTGGATCAAGGCGTAATCTCCATCCGTATAGTACAAACGGTAGAGAGTTACTTTGTCTGTATCGACAAGAAAGTATATACCAATGCCAAGCATAGCAGCACCGGAAAGCTGTTCGAAAAAAATATAATTTAATAACCTTTCATATAGCACGAAATGAACTTTGCACCTTAAAATATCTACTTGTTTATAAGATCAACTTGTTAATTTTTTCTTCCAAAACTATCCAAACTTTGCGTAATAAATGTAGTAACATCATTATGGTGAGGTAACTCGGATACAAAATGATAACAGACAAAAACTAGAAACAGCAATAACTGGAACTTTATTAGAAAAGAAAAAATCTAAATACACACACACAAGAACTTTAAGAGAGATCTCTCTATTAAAATCAGTGAGATTATTTTTTGAGCTTCCAAAGTTTTCCACATTATCCTAAAATAATAAGATTAAAAACAAAGAGAGTCTGTATACTAACGTGCAATTGCTTTAAAAAAATTTTAATTAAAGCAAGTTAAAACACGTGAAAAGCAGAGAAACTGAAAGAAATGTTTAAGACGGAAAAGAAACATCCATTTAATATACATTAGGGATAACCTTTATCTGGCTTTCTACAGTAGATTTACACACGTATTAAGGAGAAATTACGTTGCATGTCAAGTAATTCTTTTAAAATAATCCAATTTGAAGTTTTTGAATATGATAATTTCAAATGCAACCTTAGAAACAACCAATTACGTTGCATGTCAAGTAATTATTTTAAAACAATCCAATTTGAAGTTTTTGAATATGATAATTTCAAATGCAACTTTAGAAACAACCAATTACGTTGCATGTCAAGTAATTCTTTTAAAAATATCCAATTTTAAGTTTTTGAATATGATAATTTCAAATGCAACTTTAGAAACAACCAATTACGTTGCATGTCAAGTAATTCTTTTAAAACAATCCAATTTGAAGTTTTTGAATATGATAATTTCAAATGCAACTTTAGAAACAACCAATTACGTTGCATGTCAAGTAATTCTTTTAAAACAATCCAATTTTAAGCTTTTGAATATGATAATTTCAAATGCAACCTTAGAAACAACCAATAGCGTTTTTTGATGAACAACATAAAAACAAAATGAAAACTTGGTTCACAAAAACTAGTATTTAAAAAGTTTGCATTTTGAAAGTTTTCATCTTATTGTAAATTTTTACTACCTCCGCCTTCATAATTAAGCCGTTTTATATTCCATATGGAAACATCTGTATGCAAGATTATTATTTTTTCGTTCATGTCAATTTGAAAATTTGATCAGTTTCTATTAATTGCTATGAAATGGTTTGAAAGTAAACCTAATTAAACCTATGAAGAGTATCCAAAACCAAGTTATATAAAACGTATATTACATGTTATATTTTACGCTCGATAATTTCTATTTTTATCTGCATTAGAAAAATTTAATTGTTTAACTTATGTGAAAACTTAGAAATTTCAAGATCAGCTGATATTCGATAAATTAGAGCCTATGGAGAACACCATTATCCTTGTTCCAATTGTAAAAGCAATAATTTATTATATTATGTACACTTACTTAATGTATATTGGAAAAAGTTTAACATACTTATAAAGAATAAGGAAATAACTTACCCAAAAAACCACGTTAAATGCAATAAGAACGCCTTTGGCACACTTAGCTCCACAACCCAATGCCATCTTGTGATCTTTGAACAGGCTTGAAACTGATAACATACAAAAAATGAATAACTTTAGAATTTTAAGAACACAGATTTTTTGAATTTATCGATAAGTAGCTTTTGGTATAATAAAGTGTCATAAAACATGAATGTGCTGTTTACTTAGATATAATATAATTCGTGTCTCTTAAACTCGCCTAGATTGTATCGTGATATTAAATTTTTATTATTAATATTTAATTAAACGGTAAAATCAACAAAAGGTGAGCATGATAAACACGTATTTGTAATTACTGAGTGGTAATTAATGACGAGTGCCAGGATGAGTGATAAAAAAGCAAAAACACACGACTCTCTGAATGCTTATATTTTATCATCTAGGTTAATTATACGTTTTCATCCTCAAACAAATGTAAATATATGAAATTATTTCGCTCTGAATAAGTTACAACTTAATGTTAATTTATTATCTTCGATACTTGCAGTTTGCAGTGGGCACAGGCACAGATATTCCATCGCGCAGCTTTGTGCCTAACACACAAACAAAAATATTTTGTTTTATAATAAAAGAAATGAAAACAAAATATAAGACTTTCTATGAATCATTAAAATTAAAGTATAGCTTTTGTTGGTCTGTAATACAATGTTGTGTAAAGTTATTTTGAAATAAAAGTTCACAAAAAGAAAACGTGGACAAATACCTAACAATCACAGATACGAAGGCAGAAAAAAATTGATGTAAACAATACGTGATATACACAAACCTATGCGATAAGAGTGATCTGTTAACAAACGTTGAGTTCGAAATAGATGTCTAAAATCAATGCAACTTGTCAAGAATCAAAGCTGCTAACAATCACAGATACGAAGGCAGAAAACAATCTGATGTAAACAATACGTGATATACACAAACTTATGCGGTAAGAGTGATCTGTTAACAAACGCTGAGCTCGAAATAGATGTCTAAAATCAATGTAACTTGGCAAGAATCAAAGCTGCTGTTTCCAAGAATGTTTATGGTTTTATTTGGATGAAGTGTTTGGAAAGTGTAAATATATGTTAGAGTTAATTTCAAAGCCAAAAAATCGTAAGGTTCAAAATCTAAACGAATTGCAGATCAGGCTGCATTGTTGTCGTTTTGCTTGGATACGAGCCTTTTGATTACACCTAGGGTTAACTACATTCAGCCTATCATCAACATCCTAACATAATACACGCTAAAGTAAAGCTGAATCTTTGAAAGCTATCACCAATATATTAACACAATAGGATCTAAGTAAAGCTGCATCTTTTTAAGCTATCACCAATATAGTAACACAATACGATCTAAGTAAAGTTGCATCTTCTTAGCGAAAGGCTAATCGAACTCAATGGCGACTGGCACAAAGCCAAGTTTCTTGACTGCAGTGACGAATAAAGAGATTGTATGGTAGTGCGAGGAAAGCAAAAAGTAGGACAAAAACACTTTTTCTCTCTCTAAGTAAATACAAGACAAGGTGAAATGCAATGTGTTAGAGGTAGAGGTAAAAACACCTGAGAAAGGACAAACTTCTGTCGTCAAATCACCACTCTAGTAGATATAATAATGAAAACAAAAACAGAATGGAAACCCTAAATTTCAGTCAAATAGAACAATCGTGCAGATCGTGCAGTTGTAGCTTTTGTACGCGTTGTTATTTTAATTCCCAGCTACATGAAAATAAATGATGACACATATTCAGATTTATTGTTGTTTTTGTTTGCGAAAGCAATTAAGTATCTTGTTGATTCACCAAAAAGTTTGGGCCAAGATGTAACTGAATGATAATTGAGTTGATGGCCACTTTTGGCTAATTTTATAATGAAGTTGACAGAATTCAACAACGTAGAGGAATTTCTCAAACACTTAATTTTTCTTATAAGTCTACTAATAATTTATATATATATATATATATATATATATATTACCCCCGGCCCGGCATGGCCAGGTGGTTAGGGCACTTGACTCGCAATCTACGAGTCGTGGGTTCGAATCCCCGTCCCACCAAGCATGCTCGCCCTTTCAGCCGTGGGGGCGTTATAATGTGTCGGTTTAATTCCACTATTCGTAGCCCAAGAGTTGGCGGTGGGTGGTAATGACTAGCTGCCTTCCCTCTAGTCTTACACTGCTAAATAAGGGACGGCTAACAAAGATAGCCCTCGTGTAGCTTTGCGCTAAATTCAAAACATACAAACCCTAAACATTTTAAAGTATGTTTTAAACATAAATTGTGGTAGCAGATATTTCTTCCAGCCTTTGAATTATACACCTTTCAGAAAATCCACAAAATCACAACGAATTTCTATTATGTAGGAATCGTTTCATTCAGGAACATCGAATGAGAAGCTGTGTCACACATCATTCTCTGTTTTAGCACACACACACACACACACATAAAACAAACATTCACAAAACTTTGAAACTTTATAAGCGTTATTTACTTGTATGTAGTTAAACGGTTACTACATGAAACGGAGTTTCAAGTAACAAAATCAAACATCAAGCACACTACATGTAAATTGGACAAAATCCTTCTGCTATGAAACGTTAACAATTGTGAATACGTTCTGCTATGAATTATTAATTTAATTCAACATTAAATGTTTAGAAAATGCCATTATACTCTTTACTGTAATCAGAAGTACGGATGCACTCATTTGCAAAGTACACTGATTATGTGTATGTGTACTACACAAAGTCTGTCGTAAGTCTGACATAAAAAACCTGATGAAACTAATAGGTATATATATGAGTTCATTTGCAGTGAAACGTCGTAGAGTGCAAATGCAACATGTTACTAATAATATATTTTTCTTACAACCATTTGTTCTTACATATTTATAATAGACACATTAGTTCTAAATCAACAAGACTGTTTTTAGCTATGAAGGTAGTTCACAATAACATGTAATAAAGTATTACATTCAGTACTTCTTCATTAATAGCTGCTTCTACCCTAAAGCCAAAATTATAATTTATCATGACCACATAATGAGAAGAATCCCCAGTCTCACATCACTGCTCAGTTTAATCCAAAGATCACTTTGTTCAAAGTCAGCTTGTATTATATCAGGCAGTGGGTTATTCTGAAGTAGTATTCAGAGTATTATTAATCCAAATATTGATTAGACTACAGCTTTCTGGAGTACACTGTCAGTAAGGGAGTTGCTTATATCTGTATCTAGTTGCTGCTCCTTAGGAATATGAAGCCTGCTATAAAATGACAATGTAGCAGATTTGTTGACTGTGCATATGACAATGATAAACTGTGTAAAAAAATGAAAACATTTACATTTTTTGACTCCTAATAGACAAGTTAGTTAGGAACTGATGAAAATTATTATGAATCAAAATTCAGTTATATTGAGAAAGTTTCGCAAATGAAGTTTCGAGATTTTGCAATATTTCTACTTACATCTACTTTCTGGATAATAATGTAGACATTTAACAAGTGAAAAAAATTATTGGAAAAACTGAGTGCTGAAAATTTAAAAACTGCTAGGTATTTAGTTATGATATTACCGTTAATTCAAATCAATATATATATTGGCTAAAAGACTATGTTTTCCTGGAACAAAGTGTCATATAAGAACTGACACCTCATTTTGACTTTACAACACACATCCAAATATTTAAGGACATTTTCTCTAACAAAAAACAACAACAAATAAAGTAGGACTTTTACATAAAGGGTGTTGAACAAATATTGAAGGATGAGCTCTTATGAGAACCTTTTTCTAAACTAATGCTCTTGGGGCAATATTACGACACTAAGTTTCATGAAATTGAAAAATATTAAACTTCACTGTGGATATAATAGGAATAAGAATATTCTAAAAGTTAATTTAGATCTAAACAGCCTGAGTTCTGCTTTAAATATCAAATTAGTACGAAAGCTTAAAGTAAAGCTTTTTAGTAACAATAAACAATAACATTACTTCAAATAATCAAAGTCAATTTTCTCATGGATATTACAAGTGAGTATGCCAATTAAAAAAATATTATTGTCATTCCTTTAATAAATAAAAACAAGAAGGAAAGTACTCCTTAAGTTATCATGAATAGGTGATTAAAACTACATCATTCTTTTATTTTATATAAATTATTACCCCCCCCCCAATATTATTTTTTATGTTCTATTGCTGAGCTTCGTTTTCCGTCTATGATTGGCCTGAATGAACGAGTAATATTGAGAAAGAAACGAGAGTTTGGTTACCGTAGGCTAACCATATTACATTATAACCGACAAATGTACACTAATGAAGTTGAGGATGTGAGTAACTTGATGCCAGTTCACAATGAACTCCATCTTATCTGTGATGCATTTTCTCTATCGTTCCGTGAGCTTCATCAGTCAGTTCAGTAAAATACAGCTCAGACGTTAAAAATCTCGTCAGTTCAGTAAAATACAGTTAAGATGTTACAAATCTCGTCAGTTCAGTAAAATACAGTTAAGATGTTACAAATCTCGTCAGTTCAGTAAAATACAGCTCAGATGTTACAAATCTCGTCAGTTCAGTAAAATACAGTTCAGATGTTACAAATCTCGTCAGTTCAGTAAAATACAGTTCAAATGTTACAAATCTCGTCAGTTCAGTAAAATACAGCTCAGACGTTACAAATCTCGTCAGTTCAGTAAAATACAGCTCATACGTTACAAATCTCGTCAGTTCAGTAAAATACAGCTCAGACGTTACAAATCTCGTCAGTTCAGTAAAATACAGTTAAGATGTTACCAACTGTATTTTACTGAACTGACGAGATTTTTAACTGTATTTTACTGCACAGACGGGATTTGTAACATGTGAACTGTATTTTACTGAACTGACGAGATTTGTAACATCTTAACTGTATTTTACTGCACAGACGGGATTTGTAACATGTGAACTGTATTTTACTGCACAGACGGGATTTGTAACATGTGAACTGTATTTTACTGAACTGACGAGATTGTAACGTCTGAACTGTATTTTACTGAACTGACGGGACTTGTGACGTCTGAACTGTATTTTACTGAACTGACGAG